AAACGAATATATTAATAGGGCCAATGTGTCTCATAAAAGTCGTTGAAATTACTTGGCTCCTTCTGGTACCTGCCATACAACTTCAAAAGTTATTTGACTATATTTCAGAAACTATTGAAGCTATGGTATTGAAATTTCACACATACGAATATATTAATAGGGCCAATGTGTCTCATAAAAGTTGTTGAAATTACTTGGCTCCTTCTGGTACCTGCCACACAACTTCAAAAGTTATTTGACTATATTTCAGAAACTATTAAAGCTATGGTATTGAAATTTCACAAAAACGAATATATTAGTAGGGCCAATGTGTCTCATAAAAGTCGTTGAAATTACTTGGCTCCTTCTGGTACCTGCCATACAACTTCAAAAGTTATTTGACTATATTTCAGAAACTATTAAAGCTATGGTATTGAAATTTCACAAAAACGAATATATTAGTAGGGCCAATGTGTCTCATAAAAGTCGTTGAAATTACTTGGCTCCTTCTGGTACCTGCCATACAACTTTAAAAGTTATTTGACTATATTTCAGAAACTATTAAAGCTATGGTATTGAAATTTCACACGAACGAATATATTAGTAGGGCCAATGTGTCTCATAAAAGTTGTTGAAATTACTTGGCTCCTTCTGGTACCTGCCATACAACTTCAAAAGTTATTTGGCTATATCTCAGAAACTATAAAAGCTGTGATATTGAGATTTCACACAAGTGAATATATTAGTAGGGCCGATGTGCTTGATAAAATTCGCTAAAATTTCTTGGATCTTTCTGGTAGCTGCCATACAACTTCAATAGTAGTTGTGCACAACCAGTATTTTGAAAAACACATAGTACTGAAATTTTGCATAAATTAATATGGTAATACGCCAATTTAAAGTCATAGTCTGCCCCATAGTTAGTTATGGCACATTAGTTATTCGCACATAGGACAACAAATTCGTACGGGTATCACAGAGTTGACAAAGTCAACTCTACTTTTTTTCTGGTTTTTGTTTATTTTTCTTTTGTATTTTTTCAATAGGGTGTCGAATTTATTGTATGAATATTGCAACACTTCTTATATACCATAATCATTATAATATTATTACTATAATTAACAGCTTAAAATTTTAAAATTCTAAATGAAATTTACTTTTTAATTTAGTTTTATTTAATTCTTTATTGAGTGTTTTTAACCATTTTAATGGAAATTTTATATAATTTTCTTTGGTTTAAAGTCTCACAGTCACAATCATTTAACCAATGATTTTGAAGTCCAAATTTTCATTTTATTATTGGAATATGAAATTCTGTATTTTCCTCTAACTGATTTTTTTATAATATTTTCGGGGAAACAGCAGAAAAAAAAATAATAAGTAAAAATTCATTGACTTATAAATATAAGAAAAATAATAAAAAGAAAAATTCATTTATTGGACGTGATTTTAAAAGTGACTATCATTCGCATACTATACATACATACGTACATACTTACAGGACATCAAAATGGTTCTATCCTCTTTTATTTTTAATGCTCATTTTTTTCTTACATATACATATACATGTATAAATATGTGTATACATAATATATACTTGATGTCCTTTTACAGATCAAATCGTCTCAGAGGGATAAAATGCTATAGTGGAAGCAATAAAAAAAGTCAAAATTATCCAAAAAAAAACAAAAAAATAAATAAATAAAATTAAGTTGAAAAAAAAAGCACCATACGAAATTTAAAATCATATCACGCCTCATATGACGATAAATGTCTGAAATTGGTTAAAAATACTAAAAAAAAAGAAGAACAGGCAAAGAGGCAAAAGAAAAAAAATATTTGAGAATAGTTAAAAAACAAAAAAAAAAGTGGTTGAAAATGAAAAAAAAAAATATAAAAAACTCTGGCACGTCTATTTTATCTTTCTATTCTTGTTTCTAAATGTATGATTTTTTCAAATCCACTTTGAACTCTTCTTAACCCCACCAGTAATATAAAACATTCATTGAAATTGGTTATTCCATATAATCAATTGTATATACGATCGTAATACAACAACTTTAAATACATAATCTGTGTATTTGTATACATAATCAGCGTTACCATATCGATTTCATAAAAAATCTTGAAAACTCTGCCAAAAAATTTGAAAAATCTGGCATCATTAACAAAAAATCTGGCATTAAATTTGTTAAAATCTGTTAAAAACAAACAATTAAATTGTGTTCAATTAGGTTTTCATTATCATACTATTGGTTATTGACAAATTAGCCTTTTAATCAATGAATGTTCAACAAAACAAAATATACTGGACTTTCGTTTGAATAAAACATTAATTGATAAAACATGAAATTTGAGATTGTGAATACGTTTCAATTACATTTAAAATTATTTTTAAATTTTAATGTGAGGTCATGGAAAAATTTTAGCAGAGATTCAAAAATTCAACTTTTTGCTTAAGAAATTTGGTCATCTGGCAGACCTCTGAAAAATCTGAAGTATTAGATAAATGTGGTAATATGGGAACGTTAAAATAATAATGGTTGTTTGTATAAAAAATATATGAAATCATTATATTCGTTATACATAAAAATTATAAAATTGACTGCAATTGTGGGCGACACAATACCATTATATAAGTAGGTATGTACGTGTATATTGGTATGACATCAATATGCAATAGTTTATAAAAATAACTTTTGTTTCTGTTCTGTTTGTTTGCTGTAAAAATTAAATTAATGAAAATACAAAACACAAAAATAATATCGCATTCTGAATATAAATTTTTGTTTAAATGAATTGTTTGTATGTGGATAATCTTACAGGATATATTCATGTATAATAATATAAAATAAAAAAAAAAAAACAAAATCAAAATGAAATTAAATCTCATGATTTCCGATCTCTTTAAAACAAAAGCACAAAAAAAAAAAATATAAAGTTTTTTGAAAAATATTTTTTGAATATTTAAAAAAGGAAATGGAAAGCAATGACTCTCAATGTTATTATATTCGCTGCCACATCGCTTATAATTAAATATGTATAAGACTGTATATTATTGTATATGTATTTTTAATAAATATAAAGGATATGAAGAACCAATTTATATAATGTATGTATATATATATAGAAAAAAATAAATATTGAGAGTAATATTGGGATTAAAGTTTTCATAGAAACTTTCATTTTCCGGAATAGTTTTTTGGCTTTGTTTTTGTATATTATAGTGATTGCATAATTTTGGTGGGAAATAACATTATAAAAGGTTTTGAAAAATTACAGAAATTTTGATGAATTTTAGTATGGGTATATAGATTATATCCTTATTGTATATATTACATATACCAAATTTTTTTTTTATTCAATTGAGAGCAATTGATGATTTTTTTTCAAAAAATACTCGTATATTTCCAATGAAGTGCAATTGAATTGAGAATATTTGCTTGTGTTGCCGAATATAAATGAGATTTCCAATTTTGTTTGCAAATTTCAATGAAACTTTTTGCTTTAAAATAACTTATTTGAGTACTTGCTTAAATATTCCTACATTTTTTTTTTAAATTTTGTCTATAAAATGCTATTGATAGGCGATTTTTAAAACATAATTAAATGCAATTCTTTAATCTAGAATTTATATTTTACAGTTTGGTCCACAAAATATATAGGATAAATCTTGTTATTCACATGATATACAAGCTACTAAACAGAGAACACCAAAAAATCTATATTTGGGGTTTGAGAAAATTTGTAAAATTGAAATAGTATTATTGACATTGCAAAACAAATATGTTCGGCATATTTAAAAGAATATTATTTCTTCTTGCGAAAGAAATTGCTTTGCAACTGAATTAAGTAATAAGGGTAATTTTGGACAAAGGGATGGTTGCCAATATTTAAAAAAATTTTTATGAAGCTTTCGGAACCAAAGAAATACGTGACAAAAAATTGATATTTTACGACGAAAATTTTACTTAAATACTTCAATTATTCAACCATTATTTTATATAAGAAAAAGAATATAGTTTTGACTTTATAGTCAAAGTAATATAAAGAAAGCGACACAAACTCTTATACAAACAATTTTTTGAACAAAATTGGAGTTGTTAATATCTAATTTCAAGTCTAGGTATCAAATATTAAAGTAGGTTATTCCCAATAAGAAGTATTCATAGAAGATTTCATAGAAATTCATCCAAATCACATTTTTAATTTGAACTAAAATCTTAATCTTTGCTTTAAAATTTAATTATACAATATCAAAATATAGTATAACATATGATATAGAACATATACTATAGACAGTATGTGATTTCAAAATAGTTCGTGATTTTACATCGTTTCATGATCGGAATTTATTTTACAATAAGTTTGCAACCCATTTTCGAAACCCTGCTTGGATGTTTGATTAAGTAGGCCATTGCGACCCAGACGGGATCACACTTCAATCAGCAGTAATTTGTCGTTTTGTTATCACTCCATCCGGGTGTCAATGTGCGTTCAGCGGTAAGTTCATTGGCCAATATAGCCCAGAGACATGGCTGGACGTACTTCTACTTTTAGACTAAGTCTAAAGTTATAGAAACGTCGTGACGACCTAATCTGGTAAGTTCGTAAACACGATCGAATTGTAAAACAATATTTTTAAATTATTAATATAACTTCCACTATTAAAGTTACCATGAGATTAAATTTTTAATTTGAAAATTCAATACAATTTCGTCGTTTACTAAACATTATAGGCAAAATTTTGAAGCTTAAGGTTCAAAATTTAAAGGATAAATAGAAATTTCAATTAAAATTTCTTGATTACAGTTTTTTCCAAAATATTTTCTAATGATTTTATTTTGTTTAGATAAGAAAATATTTATTTAAAAAAGAAAAAAAGAAAAAAAAAATTATTTATTACTTCCTATACTGAAAAAATATTGTACCCAAAAATATCAAGTTTTTTATTTTGATTTTTTTTTTTCAAAATAAAAACGTGTAAAAAATTAAAAATGATATAATATTATTTTTCATACCTTTAAATCCAAATCACGTACTAAATGTCTACCAAACGATGTACCGCCAGTCTTTTGAATATGTAAGAATACCATAACATCGTGACCATCCATATCAAATTGAAAATCATCATTAAGAACATCTTCATAACTGAGACCAGCATTTGCAATTGCCGATGCTATAGCAATATTTGATTTAATACTATTACTACCTCCATTTGTTAGTTGACTTAGACTATTTACACCATTATTAGCGCCACCAGTACTAATACCACCATTACTAACACCACCACCAATGCTACCACCATAATTATTATTGCTATTATGTTGTAGTTGATGTCTACCATTAATACCTAAATGAATACCATTATTATTGTTTTTGCTGCTAGTGCTGCCGCTGCTACCGCTATTACTATTACTGTTACTATTACTAATACTACTACTGTACGATAACATTTCCGGTTGAAGCATTATGTCACGTTTTGTTAACGCGCAAACCTAAAATGATGAAAAAGAAAAAAAAAAATTAATATTAAAATAGATAGTTAAAAATGAAAGAGAAAAAAAAAATAATGAGAATATTTAAAAATCCAAGAGAAAAAATTGGACTACGCTCAACTTTAAGATATTTGTACAAAAATTTAATGGGTTTCAAATTTATAAAATTTGTGTTTATTAATTACAAAGTAATTATAAGAGCTTCAATTAAATAGTAGTTATATGAAAGTTAAAAATTTAAATACACTGCGACAAGTTCAAATTTCTTCAAGTTACTCGTCAGTTATTTAAAGGAAAAATTTTTGATTAGAAATTTCAAAAATCAACATCCGAATATTATCTATAAGTAGAATATAGTAGCTAAAGACCCTACTTATAAAACAAAAACTGCCCCAAAATAATAAAAGTTTATGTTGTTCATGGTGAGAACACGCCACACATGTTATCCTTATGTAAAACAATTCATCAACAAATATAAAACGTTACGGAAGGATATGCACATAAATATGAGCAGGGAACTTTGTGAACAACTTGAGCGTAAGAGAGAATGAATTGTGGGTTTGGAACTGAAAGATTTTTTTAGTATTGTTGAAGGCAAGAAAAGAAACGAAATAACACACGAGGTCATATTTATTTATAGATTTATCTTTTTTGCCTTGGACTTCAATGCTTGTTGTTTTGAATCCTGTGTTTATACTCATGTAAATAAAGTTGAAAACATATAACCAATATATACATACACCTACATATATTTCTTGTTTTTTTTTTTTCCTTTTGAAGTTTTTATTATTCAGATCGTAATTTTTCACATTTTGTGAGAAAATTTGCAAATGACTCCTTTTTAGTAATTTAAGAGATTTTTATTTTTTTTAGTTGTACCTACATACGCACATATTTTATATTTCGTGCCATTTCATTGTAAATTTTATTTTACTTCAGAATTTAAGTAAACAAATGTTTGTATGTATATAGAGAATAATTGAAAAGAATAAAGATTATTGCAAGCATTAGCGATATGTTTTATTGTAATTTATGTAAAGCATGCACGAAACTTTATAATTCTGAGAGTATGAAAATAGTTGTAATTTTCATAATTAAATTTTTAAAAGTAATTAAATATTAAAATTAGTTTCAGAAATTTTCAAAAATTAGCTAAAATTAGGAATAAACCGATTTGTCCTTTAAAATCAATAATTAGTGGAAGCAAGGCATGATCAGATTCCTGAAAAATGTGCTACAAGGATTTCATCCCATTTTCAACGCTTATGTTTAAATATCTTTACTGGTTTTCATATGGAAAATTTTATGCTAGGATGCAATCGCAATTAATTTAAGTTTTTAATTACAATTCTGCGTCGTCGAAACTAAAAATTAGTCTTAACATTTGCTTAATTATTAATAAAAATGGGCGACAATGTTTACTGGACAATATTAAGAATACTTTTGATAATCGAATGTCTTGTGCATGTAAGGAAAACTAAGAAATATATTGCAATTCTGTGATTTTAAGAAAACTGACTAAATTGAAAAGACGTATTTTATGTAAATTAATCCCAAATTTTGATGTTACTAAAAATAAATTGTGGATTCTAATATATTTTTGCATAATTTTGGAGCCACGTGTTGTGATAAATTGTTGACAAAATATATAGATTCTTATTCTTTTAGTAAACTAAATTTTACATATCTGCCAAAAATTCAAATCATTCAATATTACAATAATATGGAGAAGATGGAGGAAATTATTTTATTTTCTCGAAAATATCTACATATTTTTCCGGCCTACGTAAAGTACGACACGGTACATTGTTAAGCTATTTTTCTTAAAATAGATGGTAACAAACAGCTAGTAAGAAAAATAAAAATTAAAAAAGGATATGAGATTTTTTTATTCTCTTTCGTTTTCTTTTCATATTTTTTCGTATTTTCTTACTTATACTTCTTTCAAATTTCTCTTATTTTTTTTTTCTTGATTTTCAACTATAAAATTTGAAAAAGGAAATATTAAGGTAAAATGTAACTACATTTATTCTGAAGTTGTATATATATATATATATGGGAAAATAAAATATACAGTCGAACTTGAATAATTTCTCGATTAGTAAAAAACTTTTTCAAAGGCGAATCAAAAATATTTTTTTGACTCGCCCTTGAATTCTATACACAAATTCCTTACGAGGAAATTATTTTCCAGTCCTTATGAGTTCAAGTAATTTTGTGAGTGTAATTATAATAACTACATATATGATGAATTTTGGTGATATCCCAACAAGAAATCAAATTTTTGTACGAGTATCATCGGCAGAAATTGTTTTTTAAATTTAAGCTTGGAAACTATAATATAAAATAGGATAATAAAAGGATGATTTCTTTTTCCCCCTTCCAATTTTTAAATTTACTTTATTTAATTGTTAACTATAATTACTTTAAGTATTTTCAAAATTTTTATTACTAGATTTTTTTGGTCAAATGAACTTATCTCATTCATCGCAAAATAAACTGTTGTTAAATGCTTGAACTAAGTAACTTAATTGATAACACATTATATAAAATATTTATTTTTATTAAAAAAGAATTAGAATAAATGACGATAGCATTATAATTGGAATTAATTCGGCTCTAAAATTGATTAAGGCTAATGCTATACAATAAATTATAAAATTATGCTCCCATAAATGTAAAAGAGAAAACTAAAAAATTCCGCGTCTGCGGCTAATTGAAATAAGTACTCAAGCTTAAGGTTTTAAAATGTTTTATCAGTTCTTTGTCTATACAAATATCTACGTACATACATAGTGTAGTAAATAAATAAATGTGTCTTTATTCCTTTTAACCAAGTCTAACTGTAAATTGTTTTTTTTTTTTAATTCATTTTCTTCTTCTTTTAATTAGATAGTCATTTCAGGTGAAAATTCCAAGGAATTGTAATAATAATAATATCACATTATTATTTTGTACAGGATAATAAAGGACTATACTACTGGTAGTATAGGAAATATATAGGGTACATTATTATATGCTTATATTTTGAATAAAAAATTCTTTTAAGAGTCTGTAGAATTTCTTAATAAAATATAAAAAAGATTTACGTATATACATACATTTATGTGTATATACACTTATTTTTTTTTAGAAATTATATTATTATTAAATGTCTTAATTTTTATTTTATATATACGTTATATTCAGGTTAAAAAACCTTTGGTATGCTTGGTTCTATTATGCTCTTTCATTATTCTCATGCTATAGTTGGTATTTTGGAAGCATAATTATGGTTTTTGTGAGAAGAAAAACAATTTATGTTTTGAATCCGTTTTTTCTTTACAAATAAAATGTACATTATTATTGTATATAATGTTAACTATGGTATATGCTCGTAAATAATAAAAATTTGTTATAATAAATACTAAGTAAAATTTTTTTTTTATAAAAATTCTTTATTTTATTTATATTGTGATTTAATAAAGTAATTTAACAAGGATAGAAAATATAAACTTTAAAATTATTTTGTGCGTTTTTCTTTTTTTAGATAATAATATAAGAATTTCTTTGTTTTAAGAGGTTGCTGTATAACTTCATGGTAATGCAAGCAAATGTATTAAAATTTAGAAAAAGCATAAATAAAAAAATTTAATTACAGTATTAGAAATGAATGGAATATTACAAAAAATTTCGTATTTGAAAATATTTTTTTCATCTCTGATTTTTCCTTTATCTTTATTACTTATCCTTTAATTATATAAGCAAAAACAAACTTTATTTACCAATTATTTAATTCTAAACTTTATATTTGCATTCCATACCAGTTATTGATTCTGCTACCTGCATATAAAAGCACTTACCAAACTTCAGCAAAAATTATTTTATGTAATTAAATATAATATTTTTGAATTATTTTTGAAGTGTTGGATGGCAAGTAATACAACATTGAAAACTCCGAAGATATCTATGTATTATGTTCGGACCTCATCGCACTTCGCATTAGATAATCTCCTAAAAATTTAGTGTTGTTGAACCTATACTAGATGTTCGCAATTCGTGTTATACATAAAGTAAATAAATTTGGTCAAACCAATATTTTGTAAGGAAGCATTCAACAAGTGATAAACTGTTTTTCAAAACAGTCTGCTACATTACTTAAATTGGTTTTATTTATGTATCAAAATATACCAATTTATTGCATACATTTGGGAGTCGTAAAAGAAAAAAAATTAAAGAAGCGTTAGTATTAGACGGTTAAATTGATAAATTTAAGATAAATAAATTTTACAAATTTCGAGAGGCGATTATTTGTGGAAGTTGGAGGTGGAAATCAATATATCAAAAATTTGAAAAAAGGGACCTTAGGTAACTGTTAATTTTACGGACATTTTGTTAAATTAGGCTATGCCGTGGTAGAAGAAGCATGCGTTACCTTTTTTTGTTTACAAAATTTGAGAAATGAATGTGGTTTCGTTTCAATAAATAGTCAAAAAATGGTCTTGGTTTTTCTTCTTGGTTAAGGTTTTGGTTATGTATAAAGTTTCAGTTTTCTCAGAGAGAGCTATTTATTTTCAAAAATGTGGTATGTTTCTGCAAGTATTCATACAATGAGTTGATTAATTTTTTGACGTATGATTGGATTGTAAAACGGGTTGACTATGACAGTTTTATTTATTACCAGAGAATTCAGAGTTAAAAAAAAAAGATAAACAAATTGAAATGCAGATCTTAATAAAATGAAATTTTGAAGTGAATATTTTAAATGCTCTACATTTAATAGCAAATACAAGCCACAGCAATTTTTTTTAAATATGTATAATAAAAATGGTGCTCTATATAATGAAAATATTCCAGTATTGCATACTTCCGGGGGCAATAATTATAGGTAAAATACATAATTGTATTTTTATTTTGGTACATGTTAATTTTTCTACGCATGTTTTAAAAAAGACTTATAGACTTATACATACATTTATGTTTCAATTAATCTGGGGCGGCAATAAATTTTTAAGAA